CGCGTTGAGTCGGAACGCGTCGGCATCCCACTCCACATTGCGGAGCCCTTTGCGTGTCGGCGTGAATCACTCCACTACGGCGAACCCTAAGAACCCCGACCGAGGACGCTTCTAGAAGTAGCCGCAACACGGGCTCACGTGAAGCGGAGCCACACGCCCGGCGGTCATCGTGGCCCGTGGCTCCAGCTAGCGGGGTCTTTGTGCTGTTCACCGGGCCGCGAGCAGTACGGGGACACGGGCTCGCCGGGCCTCACTGGGCGCTCTGTTCGCCGCAGTTCGGCTCCATTGTGCCGTGTGGCAGGCAGCCCGCGGCGGGCTGGGGAGATGGATTGTTGTGGCGGGCACTCGACAACAGTGGCACACACGTGCTCGAGCGGTGTTCTCTAAGGCCAGTATGCTCTGTGTATTTTAACACACACCAGGGATTGAGTATGGTCTGTGGATTTAACACACGCTATGGGTTGGTATGCTCTGTGGATTTAACACACGCTATGGGTTGGACATGGTCTGTGGATTTAACACACGCTATGGGTTGGGCATGGTCTGTGGATTTAACACACGCTGTGGGTTTGGTATGGTCTGTGGATTTTTACACACGCTATGGGTTGGGTATGGTCTGTGGATTTAACACACGCTATGGGTTGGGCATGGTCTGTGGATTTAACACACGCTATTGATTGGACATGGTATGTGGATTTGACACACACCAGGGATTGAGTATGGTCTGTGGATTTAACACACGCTATGGATTGGACATGGTCTGTGGATTTAACACACGCTATGGGTTGGGTATGGTCTGTGGATTTTTACACACGCTATGGGTTGGGTATGGTCTGTGGATTTAACACACGCTATGGGTTGGGCATGGTCTGTGGATTTAACACACGCTATGGGTTGGGCATGGTCTGTGGATTTAACACACGCGATGGGTTGGGCATGGTCTGTGGATTTAACACACGCTATGGGTTGGGCATGGTCTGTGGATTTAACACACACCAGGGATTGAGTATGGTCTGTGGATTTAACACACGCTATGGGTTGGGCATGGTCGGTGGATTTAACACACGCTATGGGTTGGGCATGGTCTGTGGATTTAACACACGCTATGGGTTGGGCATGGTCTGTGGATTTAACACACGCTGTGGGTTTGGTATGGTCTGTGGATTTTTACACACGCTATGGGTTGGGTATGGTCTGTGGATTTAACACACGCTATGGGTTGGGCATGGTCTGTGGATTTAACACACGCTATTGATTGGACATGGTATGTGGATTTGACACACACCAGGGATTGAGTATGGTCTGTGGATTTAACACACGCTATGGATTGGACATGGTCTGTGGATTTAACACACGCTATGGGTTGGGTATGGTCTGTGGATTTTTACACACGCTATGGGTTGGGTATGGTCTGTGGATTTAACACACGCTATGGGTTGGGCATGGTCTGTGGATTTAACACACGCTATGGGTTGGGCATGGTCTGTGGATTTAACACACGCGATGGGTTGGGCATGGTCTGTGGATTTAACACACGCTATGGGTTGGGCATGGTCTGTGGATTTAACACACACCAGGGATTGAGTATGGTCTGTGGATTTAACACACGCTATGGGTTGGGCATGGTCGGTGGATTTAACACACGCTATGGGTTGGGCATGGTCTGTGGATTTAACACACGCTATGGGTTGGGCATGGTCGGTGGATTTAACACACGCTTATTGGTTGGGCATGGTCTGTGGATTTAACACACGCTATGGGTTGGACATGGTCTGTGGATTTAACACACGCTATGGGTTGGGTATGATCTGTGGATTGAACACACGCTATGGGTTGGGTATGGTCTGTGGATTTTTACACACGCTATGGGTTGGGTATGGTCTGTGGATTTAACACACGCTATGGGTTGGGTATGGTCTGTGGATTTAACACACGCTATGGGTTGGGTATGGTCTGTGGATTTTTACACACGCTATGGGTTGGGTATGGTCTGTGGATTTAACACAAGCTATGGGTTGGGTATGGTCTGTGGATTTAACACACGCTATGGGTTGGACATGGTCTGTGGATTTAACACACGCTATGGGTTGGGTATGATCTGTGGATTGAACACACGCTATGGGTTGGGTATGGTCTGTGGATTTTTACACACGCTATGGGTTGGGTATGGTCTGTGGATTAACACACACTATGAGTTGGGTATGGTCTGTGGATTTAACACACGCTATGGGTTGGGTATGGTCTGTAGATTTTTACACACGCTATGGGTTGGGTATGGTCTGTGGATTTAACACACGCTGTGGGTTGGGTATGGTCTGTGGATTTAACACACGCTATGGGTTGGGTATGGTCTGTGGATTTAACACACGCTATGGGTTGGGCATGGTCGGCGGATTGAACACAGGTCGGTGGATTTAACACACGCTATGGATTGGACATGGTCTGTGGATTTAACACACGCTATGGTTTGGGTATGGTCTGTGGATTTAACAAACGCTATGGTTTGGGTATGGTCTGTTGATTTAACACACGCTATGGGTTGGGCATGGTCTGTGGATTTAACAAACGCTATGGTTTGGGTATGGTCTGTGGATTTAACACATGCTATGGGTTGGGCATGGTCTGTGGATTGAACACAGGTCTGTAGATTTAACACGCTATGGATTGGACATGGTCTATACATTTAACACACGCTATGGTTTGGGTATGGTCTGTGGATTTAACACAGGTCTGTAGATTTAACACACGCTATGGATTGGACATGGTCTGTGGATTTAACACACGCTATGGGTTGGGCATGGTCTGTGTATTGAACACAGGTCTGTAGATTTAACACACGCTATGGATTGGACATGGTCTGTGGATTTAACACACGCTATGGGTTGATCATGGTCGGTGGATTGAACACAGGTCTGTGGATTTAACACACGCAATGGATTGGACATGGTCTGTGGATTTAACACACGCTATGGGTTGGGCATGGTCTGTGGATTTAACACACGCTAAGGGTTGTGCATGGTCTGTGGATTGAACACACTGCATGGGTTAACCATGGTCTGTGGATTGAACACACTTCATGGGTTGAGCATGGTCTGTGGTTTGAACACAGGCTGTAGGGTGGGTATGGTCTGTAGATGTAATATGCTTTGGGTTTAGCAGCGACTGTAAAAACACGATTTAAAACTATGTTTTATTCTACCAGGTAAGGCCTGCTGAGTTATATAGCTCTTTTTCAAAAGCCATCTGGACATAACTGATAGCTCAACGAAGCGGTGTATGTGGAAATTTATAGCACCCAAATACTAAAATTTAACACACATCTGGTTAACAAGTGGCATATGCTGCTGATAGGTTGACCAAGGCGACACCAGTAATTTGGTTGTTCTTGAAACCGTCTCCTATGTACTGGGTGAGGTTTAGCACTTGGCCAGTGCAGGACTTGCGCGGCTGGAAATCAGATTGTTCTGGAAAGAGTTGTTCCTCCAGTATAGGTGATTGCTGCTTCAAGATAAGTCTCTCAAAAAGTTTGAAGAGGTAGCAGAACAAGGACATTGGTCAGACGCTCTTAGGGTCAGATGGGTCTTTTCCTGGCTTTGGAAACGTGACAAGTCTTCCGTGTCTTGGGTATGAGCAAAGAAATTTAACATTCTCAAGAGCCAATCCCTTGTTTTTAGTGCAACATTCTTTAACTGTTCAGTGCAGATGTCCGAATGCCTGCTGCCTTGACAGTCTTTATACCCTTGATGGCTTCCAGTGCCAATAAAGACCGGTAAACTCTTTCCACTGCAGTTCATCCAGCATGAGCCTATGAGTCTTGCAAACATTAAAACTTTTCAACATATAACATTCACCATGTATATGCTTTCGGTAAAATGAAAACAAAAACTATTAAATAAATGAACTATTAACATTATCATGAAAACCAGCACTGTTCAATTACTCTGCATGACATTTTGCAAAGCACCAATGTTGTGGGTAACGGCTACAAATTGACAACTTTTATGACAAAGTTTATCTCACAAAATAATCAGGAAATAACATTTTAAAAACCATAATCAGTATAGATTATCACAATGTGATGTTATTTTGGAAATGGATAGTGTTATTTCGTAATTGCTTATGCCTATAAAGTAGAGAAAATGGCTATTATTCCCCACAAACTTTGTTACCAAAGCACATACTTTGCTTTTGAGGGGGGGGGGTCGACAATTTTCGGGAACCTTTTATATCAAATATTTACTCCCCAATTTCTTAACTCTTTAGACTTCTGCAAGCCTCTTATAATTTTGTTAGTGGAGAAATGGGCAAACGGCCCACCAGGCTTTCACAATAGCTGAGTATCTGTGTATGTATATGTAATGCTTCCACAGAGTACTTTTTCGCTCTTGTCTTGATAAATTGGCCGCAGACATGGCAAAATGCGTCTGCCGGATGCTTGCAGCCTCTTGATGCCATCTCAGAAAAATGCAGATATGTATCCACTTAGGCAGCTGGAACTAAACTGAACTGGTGGGCTTAAGGCCCCTGTATTTATACTATTTATATTACTGGAAAGTTCCAGAATGTTCTAGAAGTTACTACAAGTTTACTCAGCACTGAATCTATCTGGAATGTTCTGGAAAATAGGATAATTTCTAAATATCACTCTCCTGGTCACAAAAGCAAAGTTTGTGGGGAATAATAGCCATTTTCTGTACTTTTGAGGCATAAGCAATTAGGAAATAACACTCACTACCCAGGAACAAAAAAAATTGTGTTATTGCAGACCTTGAATCGTACGATGTACTAAAGTGTCCCCATACCCTGGACACCCTTGCAAGCACTATATTCCAGCTCGACTTCCCTGGCTTCCAACTGCCATGGGAACAACGGGGCAGCACATACCCGGACCCACACGAAGCACGCGAGTTGCAAACGCCCGATGCACAAGTTGCGAATCAGAGACTCTCCTGTGTGCAACTGCGGCTCCGAAATTAAAACCACGTAGCGCGTGAATTCGCACTGCCCCAAATATAAACGTGAGACTAGGCAATTTAATGGATGAATACGTTTACGGCAGAATCTTTAATAGTTGGCCTTGATTGACCATAAGGAAGGAGATTCAGATATAATATTGAAATAAGTAATATTAAAATTTGCAGTATCCCTAGAATTTTGGCCTAGCTGGTCCCATCCATCAGCCCCTCTAACCCTGGCCTGACCCACTGTCCAGGACGCCCTTGATGGCCACAGGGGCCTGGAACCACACGCAGTCGTTCTCGCATGGCTGGCCGAGGGCCGTGCCCAGCGGCTCCTCCAGGCTGTTGCTAAACGCGACGACGACCCTCCTCCCGCGGTTGGGCAGCTTGTAGTTGAGCTTGGGATTGAACCAGTCGACGCCGCAGTCCCTGTGCGCCCACAGCAGCAGTGTGGCCGAGGTGACAGGCAGAGCGCGCGGCTCGCCAAACACATTCTGCACGAAGAGTGAGTGAAACACGTGGCGGCTGTAGCGAGCGTGGCACAGTGAATCGCCGCTGCCTCCCAGCGCCAGCTCGTGGAAGTCCAGCTCGTAGAGCTCAAGCGGCGACATGGGGCTCGGCCCTAGCAGGATGAGGACCCGGGGCACGTGCGACAGGGAGAAGAGCGTCTCCAGGTGGCCGCTCAGCTCGTGCAGGGCCGTCAGCATGCGTGCTTCTTGCCTTAACCTGGGGGGCACCTCTGCCTGCAGGGAAGAGGGGAGGGAGGCGTTCACACCAGGACGAAAGCCACGGTCTTCAGCCACCAACAGAACTGCTGCCCTGAGATGCAATTGCGGATATTATAAACATCACGTCCAGCATTATTACGTTGTGTCCCACATCAATATATCCACCTCTACCATCACCGTCACCACAAACTAGAGGCCGACCGAAATTCGGTTTGGGCGCCGAAAGTTGGCAAATGGCCTCTTTCGGCATAGTTTTGGTTTCGGCCGAAAGTAAATTTTTAACTTTCGGTCTGGTTTCGTTTTCGGTCGGCCTCTACCACAAACATCGCAACAGTCACCTGTCACACCATACTATCACCACCACTATATCCGGCACATATTATCCATCATCACATTCACCTCCACCATCACATTTAACATCAGCAGCAACATCGACTATCACCCCATCCAACATTAAACTGCCACCTCGCCACCATCGCCACATGTACGAGTCCTTAAGAGATGCTGTAGTTCAGCGACTGTACTCCATGGGTACAGCATCATCTAACACGTGAAGGACACCAGCCATAATGATAAAATGTATCTTTACTTTTTATAATCTCACTAGCTTGACTACCTGGCTGCGCCCGGGACGCCCGGCCGTCTTTGTCTCCCCAGTGGCGATGTTCACACACCACACCAGTTACTCGTTTGAGTCGACCTAGGGGAGGCCCAGGACCGGTTCAAATAATCGTGGTGGCCGTGAGCGGGAATCGAACTCGGGTCGCCGGGTTTGTAGTGCGGCGCGCTAACTGCTACACTACAATGCGTTACTCTTCCACACACACACAGACACACACAGACACACAAACACAGACAACGCTAACCACTACACTACAATGCGTTACGCTTCCACATGCGTGGGTCACGTGACAGAACTGAAATCACAGCTCACTTGCCGTGCAAAAAATAAATGCATTATTGAGCTCCCCAACCCCCCTCCGAAAAATAAGAAAGTGTATTTTTATAATTTTTGCATGGTGTACAGTCTGGAAAGTACCCACATGGCAAATTTCCAGTTTGTTGCATGTCGGGAAGTACGCTAAACATTTCGAACAGACACACAATCACAACTTTGCCTTTTATATATATGGAGATTTCTATTACTGTATAAACATCACCGAAATTATTAAAACCTTAATTTCATGTCGAATGTAGCCCGCTCGTGTCCACCCTTCGCGTCCACAGCCGCTCCGCCTCCACACACGACCCGGGGTCAGGTCTAAACCAATCGGTGACCTTGCGCCCACACACCGAAACCCAAATTGCTGAACCCTCAAAGCCTACACCCCTGCACACTCCACCCCTGCACACTCCACCCCTGCACACTCCACCCCTGAACACGCCACCCCTGCACACTCCACCCCTGAACACTCCACCCCTGCACACTCCACCCCTGAACACGCCACCCCTGCACACTCCACCCCTGAACACTCCACCCCTGCACACTCCACCCCTGAACACTCCACCCCTGCACACTCCACCCCTGAACACGCCACCCCTGCACACTCCACCCCTGAACACTCCACCCCTGCACTCTCCACCCCTGAACACTCCACCCAGCACACTCCACCCCTGCAGACTCCACCCCTGAACACTCCACCCCTGCACACTCCACCCCTGAATACTCCACCTCTGAACACGCCACCCCTGCAGACTCCACCCCTGAACACTCCACCCTGCAGACTCCACCCCTGAACACTCCACCCTGCACACTCCACCCCTGAACACTCCACCCCTGAACACGCCACCCCTGCAGACTCCACCCCTGAACACTCCACCCTGCAGACTCCACCCCTGAACACTCCACCCTGCACACTCCACCCCTGAACACTCCACCCTGCATACTCCACCCCTGCACGCTCCACCCCTGAACACTCCACCCCTGCACACTCCACCCCTGAACACTCCACCCCTGCACACTCCACCCCTGAACACTCCACCCCTGCACACTCCACCCCTGAACACTCCACCCCTGAACACTCCACCCTGCACATTCCACCCCTGAACACTCCACCCCTGAACACTCCACTCCTGAAAACTCCACCCCTGAACACTCCATCCTGCACACTCCACCCCTGAACACTCCACCCCTGAACACCCCACCCCTGCACACTCCACCCCTGAACACTCCACCCTGCACACTCCACCTCTGCAGACTCCACCCCTGCAGACTCCACCCCTGAACACTCCACCCCTGAACACTCCACCCCTGAACACTCCACCCCTGCAGACTCCACCCCTGAACACTCCACCCTGCACACTCCACCCCTGAACACTCCACCCTGAACACTCCACCCCTGAACACTCCACCCCTGAACACTCCACCCTGCACACTCCACCCCTGAACACTCCACCCCTGAACACTCCACCCCCACCTCACCACTCCCCTCACCAGGTGGCTGTGGAAGTGCAGCAGCTGCGGGTAGGGAAGCGGCAGCTGGCCGCGCTGGTACAGGGCGTGAGCGAAGATCTCCCAGACCAGGGCGCCAAGGCTCCGCTGGCTCACGGCGCCGCGCACCGTCACCTCGCAGCGCCGCGCCGACATCGCCGCCACTCTTCTCTCCTTCCTCCTCCTCTCCTTCCTCCTCCTCTCTCCTCTTCTTCCTCTTCTTCTCACTCCCCTCGCTCGCCCGGCTCCGCTGGCCCGTTAGTCGTCTCCCAGTTAATAAACTGAACAGTTCAAAACGGCGTCACGTGGCCTACCCACCGGAAAAGGGCACGACGGGAAGAAGGGGCGCGGCTTAGGTGAGGGGAGGGGTTTGGTGAGGGGTTTGGTGAGGGGTTTGGTGAGGGGTTTGGTGAGGGGAGGGTTTTGGTGAGGGAGGGGTTTGGTGAGGGGAGGGGTTGGTTAGGGGGGTTTGGTGAGGGGAGGGGTTTGGTGAGGGAGGGGTTTGGTGAGGGGAGGGGTTTGGTGAGGGGAGGGGTTGGTTATGGGGGTTTGAGGGGTTTGGTGAGGGGAGGGGTTTGGTGAGGGAGGGGTTTGGTGAGGGGAGGGGTTTGGTGAGGGGAGGGGTTTGGTGAGGGGAGGGGTTTGGTGAGGGGAGGGGTTGGTTAGGGGGGTTTGAGGGGTTTGGTGAGGGGAGGGGTTTGGTGAGGGGTTTGGTGAGGGGAGGGGTTGGTTGGGGGGTTTTAGGGGGGTGGTGAGGGGAGGGGTTGGTTGGGGGGGTTTGAGGGGGGTGGTGAGAGGCGTTGCGTGGAGAGGTAAGGGGGAATTTTTATTTAAAGCTTTCGTGACTGCAGTAATTCATATTCTTAGCTCTTTCGGTAAAGTCACGTTGAAGGGAAACAATAAAATAATAAAATATATACAAAACAATAAAAATTCTCACGACGTTTCGACCATAACACAAACGGTCATCATCAGGTGTGAAAAGCAATGGCAAGAAACATTTGAAAGAAGTGTCGGTATTTATTTATTTCTAAACGGGTGTTTTATTTCTTTTAAAAAAAACCAAAAAACCGTTAGCATCACGGGCAGTGATTTGGCAGTTTATTTAGAAGGACAAGTCCATCTATGTTCTGAAAAGAGGAGGGGGAAGACGAAAAATTAATGTTTGCTGTCTGAAAGAGCTGAGAATAGGTTAGCGGGAGTTGAGGGGAGGGGTTGGTTGGGGGGGGTTGAGGGGGGTCGTCAATGTAAACATGAAGATTGATGAGGGGACTGACCATCGTTGAATAAGTGACTGGATGGAGTGCTGCATCAACCATAAACCTACTCTACATTGAATTATAACAAGCACAGCGAGGTAGGAACTGGGTGCCGCAGTGTTGAGATGTTAACTACCTCGCCTGGTATACAGGTCGTGGGTTCGATCCCAGTCCTGACACCTGGATATTTGGAGTTTGCATGTTCTCCCCGTGGTCACATGGATTTTTCTCCAGTACCTCCGGTTGTTCTCTCCACATTTAGAAACATGCATCGAGAGTATATAGCTCCTAGAAATTTCCACATGATAAGCCACTTCATTGGGCTATCATTTGTGGCCAGATCGCTTCTAAGAGCTGTATAGCTCAGTGGGCCTTGCCTGGTAAGCTAAAAATAATTTAGTTTCAGTTTGGGGGTGGCTCCCCACCCCAGACAGGTTCACATCACAAGTCCTGCCGAGTGCTCACCTTCTCCACCTTCTTCTCCAGGATCTCCTTGACCACCTTGCAGAGATTCTCAAACTTGGCCTTGGCCTCCTCCTGTCTCTTTTTCTCTTCCTCATCTTCCGGAAGCTCCATGCCCTCCTTGGTGACGGAGACGAGGGTCTTCCCGTCAAACTCCTTCAGCTGCTGCACGCAGTACTCATCGATGGGCTCCACCATGTACACCACCTCCAGGCCACGCTTGCGCACGCGCTCCACAAACGCAGAGTTGGCCACTTGCGCTTTTGACTCGCCTGCGAGCTAAATCGCGGTTCACAAATTAGCCTTCCGGCACCACGGCCTCGTCTAACGGTTTGGCAAATTCCCGCTCAAATGAGCATCGCGACGATGCTCATCTCCCGTTTACAGTCCCATTCCAAATTCCTTTGGCGAAGACTAATCTAAAGGAGAACCACTGTTAACAACCACAAAGTGGAATGCTATTTATAGACCGAGGGACGATTAACAGTCTGCAAAGCTTCACAATTAGATTACTTGTACAGTCTACACTTAAATTCAATACTTGGGCAACGTTCTTAGCCAGGAAGTGCTAGCAGGCTGTGTGAAGAGCAGCGTGTGTCGTGCAGCAGTGCGTGTGTGGTGCCATGGAGTGTGGTGTCGTGGCGCGTGTGGTGCTGTTGGCACGTGCGTGTCTGCCCGCACCGGTGATGTAGTAGATGTGCTTCTGGTTTTCTTTCATTCGAGACACGTAGTCCTTCAGCGAGCACATGTCCTCGCCCGACATGGACGTATGGTAGCGGAGCAGCTCCGCCAGCTTCTTCCGGTTCTGAGAGTCCTCGTGGATTCCCAGCTGTGGGGAATAACGATAAAAGGCAGAGCGACAGGGTCAGATTTCCCCCTGACGAACTGAACGACGGGAAAAGCACGAATCGCAAAATATTCAAATCCACACCGCTGCAGAAATTCGGCAAATGGTGAGAGCATCCACCTTGATGTTTTTGGAGAACTGCTCATAGAACTTCTTGTAGTTATCTTTGTCCTCGGCGAGCTCCGCGAACAGCTCCATGGACTTCTTGACGATGTTCTTGCGGATCACCTTGAGGATTTTGCCCTGCTGCAGCATCTCACGCGAGATGTTGAGGGGAAGGTCCTCGGAGTCCACCACTCCCTTCATGAAGTCTGCAAACGGTGAACATTCACGGCTTTAGTATTTATCACTGTAAAAACTCTAGAGAAACCATTGAATAGAAGTGCTTTAAGGGAGGAAAAAAATGACATTGTTTACGAGTTGCTCTCAAGCCTGCATGCATCCCCGCTTACTGGATTTAACACACGCTATGGGTTGGGTATTGTCTGTGGATTTAACACACGCTATGGGTTGGGTATGGTCTGTGGATTTTTACACACGCTATGGGTTGGGTATGGTCTGTGGATTTAACACACGCTGTGGGTTGGGTATGGTCTGTGGATTTAACACACGCTATGGGTTGGGTATGGTCTGTGGATTTCACACACGCTATGGGTTGGGCATGGTCGGCGGATTGAACACAGGTCGGTGGATTTAACACACGCTATGGATTGGACATGGTCTGTGGATTTAACACACGCTATGGTTTGGGTATGGTCTGTGGATTTAACACACGCTGTGGGTTGGGCATGGTCTGTAGATTTAACAAACGCTATGGGTTGGGCATGGTCTGTGGATTTAACAAACGCTATGGTTTGGGCATGGTCTGTGGATTTAACACATGCTATGGGTTGGGCATGGTCTGTGGATTGAACACAGGTCTGTAGATTTAACACGCTATGGATTGGACATGGTCTATAAATTTAACACACGCTATGGTTTGGGTATGGTCTGTGGATTTAACACAGGTCTGTAGATTTAACACACGCTATGGATTGGACATGGTCTGTGGATTTAACACACGCTATGGGTTGGGCATTGTCTGTGGATTGAACACAGGTCTGTAGATTTAACACACGCTATGGATTGGACATGGTCTGTGGATTTAACACACGCTATGGGTTGATCATGGTCGGTGGATTGAACACAGGTCTGTGGATTTAACACACGCAATGGATTGGACATGGACTGTGGATTTAACACACGCTATGGGTTGGGCATGGTCTGTGGATTTAACACACGCTAAGGGTTGTGCATGGTCTGTGGATTGAACACACTGCATGGGTTAACCATGGTCTGTGGATTGAACACACTGCATGGGTTAACCATGGTCTGTGGATTTTTACACACGCTATGGGTTGGGTATGGTCTGTGGATTTAACACACGCTGTGGGTTGGGTATGGTCTGTGGATTTAACACACGCTATGGGTTGGGTATGGTCTGTGGATTTAACACACGCTATGGGTTGGGCATGGTCGGCGGATTGAACACAGGTCGGTGGATTTAACACACGCTATGGATTGGACATGGTCTGTGGATTTAACACACGCTATGGTTTGGGTATGGTCTGTGGATTTAACTCACGCTGTGGGTTGGGCATGGTCTGTGGATTTAACAAACGCTATGGATTGGGCATGGTCTGTGGATTTAACAAACGCTATGGTTTGGGTATGGTCTGTTGATTTAACACACGCTATGGGTTGGGCATGGTCTGTGGATTTAACAAACGCTATGGTTTGGGTATGGTCTGTGGATTTAACACATGCTATGGGTTGGGCATGGTCTGTGGATTGAACACAGGTCTGTAGATTTAACACGCTATGGATTGGACATGGTCTGTGGATTTAACACACGCTATGGGTTGATCATGGTCGGTGGATTGAACACAGGTCTGTGGATTTAACACACGCAATGGATTGGACATGGACTGTGGATTTAACACACGCTATGGGTTGGGCATGGTCTGTGGATTTAACACACGCTAAGGGTTGTGCATGGTCTGTGGATTGAACACACTGCATGGGTTAACCATGGTCTGTGGATTGAACACACTGCATGGGTTAACCATGGTCTGTGGATTTTTACACACGCTATGGGTTGGGTATGGTCTGTGGATTTAACACACGCTGTGGGTTGGGTATGGTCTGTGGATTTAACACACGCTATGGGTTGGGTATGGTCTGTGGATTTAACACACGCTATGGGTTGGGCATGGTCGGCGGATTGAACACAGGTCGGTGGATTTAACACACGCTATGGATTGGACATGGTCTGTGGATTTAACACACGCTATGGTTTGGGTATGGTCTGTGGATTTAACTCACGCTGTGGGTTGGGCATGGTCTGTGGATTTAACAAACGCTATGGATTGGGCATGGTCTGTGGATTTAACAAACGCTATGGTTTGGGTATGGTCTGTTGATTTAACACACGCTATGGGTTGGGCATGGTCTGTGGATTTAACAAACGCTATGGTTTGGGTATGGTCTGTGGATTTAACACATGCTATGGGTTGGGCATGGTCTGTGGATTGAACACAGGTCTGTAGATTTAACACGCTATGGATTGGACAT